CAAACTGTGCCCTTTTATTTTTTTAAAGATTTTATTTATTTATTTGACAGAGAGAGAGAGAGACAGCTAGAGAGGGAACACAAGCAGGGGGAGTGGGAGAGGGAGAAGCAGGCTTCCCACAGAGCAGGGAGCCCGATGTGGGGCTTGATCCCAGAACCCTGGGATCATGACCTGAGCCGAAGGCAGACGCTTAGTGACTGAGCCACCCAGGTGCCCCAAACTGTGCCCTTCCATTCCTGAGGAGTGAGAGCCTCTTTATTTGAGGCCCTCTCCCAGCTGCCCAGTTCAGAGTGGCATCTCTTGGGAGTATGTTATCTGCCCTGTGACTTCTGTGCCCACTGCCTATGGGAGGACACTCTTTGGGACTCACATCCACTTAAAAGCAGGTTAATGGTCACGGTGCTTTGGATTACATAATAAGTCTCATTTTTATACCATTCAAAGAGCTTTCTTATCTGCCTTCTAATTTTGCTCATAAATGCCTTCTGCATTTTCACAAATGGAGAACTGAGTTCTGGAGGGTAGTGTACTTGGCTTATAGCCATACTCTGAGTTGGGTGTAAAATCAGGACTAAGACTCAGGACTCCCAACTCCCAGGGGCCTTTGAAGGTTAAAAGTCCAGCTTTATATTCTTCCCCCCAAACTGACTCTTCATTTCTTCAACAGGGCTAGTGGTGGTGAATCATTACCTAGCATTTCAGTTTTTTGCAGAGGAATATTATCCTTTCTCAGAGGTAAGAAGTGTTCAGTACATCGAACTATTAGCAGGGACAGAGGAAGTAAAGGGGACTTGCATGATTTGCTTTGTGAACTTAGCTGGGGTTTGAAATAGTCTGCTGAGGGATAACGCATTTAAAAAAATAGTATTGATGAGTTTAGAAAGTGGTGTGGGGTGAGGAGCAGGGATCTCTTTATCTGAGGCGGGGAGGTCACTGCTCTCCCCCAGGGAGTCCTTTGGTTCTCCCGAGATCACAGCCTAACACCCTGAGGTCAGGACAGGGCACTGGGGTGGCCTTGGCTGATGCAGACCTCATGGGGCTGGCAGGTCGCAGCCCTGAAGCCCGGCTCCTCCCAGCAGCCTGCCCAGCCTTTTTCCTCTCAGGGGTTCTCCACACCCTGCTGTTCCAGTTCTGACCCCTGGGAAGAACAAGGTCACTTTTGGGGGAAGATGGGTCAGGCGTGGTTTTACCCTCCATCTGCTTCCTTTAGTTCAGAGGAGTTGTTTGCCCTAGTGCCCAGAATCTGGGGATTGGGGTCACACTCAGTCATCCTCAGCCTCCACCTTTCCCCACTGAATTTTCTCCGTGTCTGAGGTTGCCCTGCCTCTGCTTCCTGGTCCCTGGCCTCCTTCAGAGATCAGGTGTGGGGCCTTCTGTGCATTCCTGACTGCCTCTGTAAGATGCATGGTGGCCGTGTGGGGCCCACCCGTGGCACTTCCAGGGCACCCTCTCTCAGTGTCTCTTGTTGCCAGGTCCTGGCCTATTTCACTTTCTGTCTGTGGATAATCCCGTTTGCGTTCTTTGTGTCACTGTCAGCTGGGGAAAACGTCCTGCCCTCCACCGTGCAGCCAGGAGGTGAGAAGGGGCTTGTCAGGGGTCACGGTGGGATCGCCTCAGGAGGGCCTGGGTTGTGTGGGGAGCCCGAGCCCAGCCTTGTGATGGAGGCGTTTGGGCTCCAGGTGGGGAGAGCCGTGTTCACGTGGAGACACACACACTCATCCCCCTGCCTGTGTCTCCACAGATGACGTGGTCTCCAATTACTTCACCAAAGGCAAGCGGGGCAAACGCTTAGGGATCCTGATTGTCTTCTCCTTCATCAAAGAGGCCGTTCTACCCAGTCGTCAGAAGATATACTGAACCCCTTGGGGAGGGGATGCGGGGACAAAATCAGGAGAGTCGGGCCCCTGGGCCTCTGCACTAGGCGGGGGCCGTGAGCCTGGAAGGCACCTTCCCCCCGCCCTGGCCCTTGTTCCCTTGACTCTCCCTGAAGCCCTCATCCCCACCTTCCTCGAAGGGCTCAGCTTGGCTCAGATCTGACGCTGCTAGAGGCTGTGACCTCAGAGGGCACCAGGAGGATGGCAGAGCCTGCTTAGCCAGGAGGCCATGGACCACCTGGTTCGGCGGGAGCTGAGCTCCCTATGACCCTCCTACCCACTTCCGTGGTGGGTCAGGAGGTTCTGGCTCAGCCGGGGCAGGCAGGGCAGGGGCTATGAAGCTGGAGAGCAGACAGGGATAAGTTCTCTGGGCAGATGGCCGTGGGGAGGGGCCATGGCTTGGCACTTCCAGGAGAAATAGTTTTTGCTGTTGAACTGTGATTTCTGTCCCAAGTGCTGATTCCCATTTGAATAAAGATTCTAGGTGGCACTGTTTGCCTTAATATCCTGAAAGTTCATCTCCCTTTCTTCCTGTTGACCTTCTGCCCTGGACTGAACTGGATTTTCTGCTCCAGGGGCTTCTTTTCTGGGTTTGGGTCTTGCCCTCCCAGCGGGACTGCTCTCACGGCCCTTCCTGGGAAGTGGGCAGAGGTGAGGAGCTGAGCCGGGTCAGGGGGGTTGGGGGTGGAGGCAGCCTTTCTCGTGCCCTTCCCTTTTCTTCCATCTCTTCTTTCCCCAAGGCGCCATGGCTGTGACGCTGGGGGCAGTGGAGGGACGGTTTGGGACTGGGTGGGATTTTTGGAATATCTGCAATATCCTATTTGTAAGCTTTCCCCTGGGGAAAAGGAGCGGTTTCTGGCTGAATTCTATCTTGGGCCCAAGAGGAAAGAAAATAGAAATTGGCTTCCAGGCAGACTGGATTACAGCCTATTTTTTAAGAAACGGGACTGAGGGGAGAAACGGTTTGTCGCTCTAAGAGCACACGAGGGCTGGCCCTCTCTTCTGTGTGCTCTTGGCTCCCGGGGAGCTGACCTCAGTCTTCTAAGAAGGTGGGCCAGATCCTGGCACAGACCAGCATTTGTTGACTTTGCACTCCAACTACAGTGCCTTGCAAGTACTCAGCAGTACATACGGGAGTGAAGCCCCCATGAGAGCCGTTGCTGCCATGTCCCGTACCTCAGATCGAGACTGGCAGGTGCGGAGATGGACAGCGCACATGCAGTACCTTTAAGCCGGGGAAGCCCCTGTGCTTGAAATTCTCTATATCCTGCCCCAAGTCCCACCACAGCCCTTCATTCCCTTGACTGCAGCAGTTCCTGTTCTCTTAAAAATCCCAGCCTTTCCCTTTCGCTGAAAGGAGTAGCACATTTTGGTTTCTTTTTGGTGGGAATGAGATGGCCAGGCCTTTTTATCCTATGCAGACAAGGGAAGACAAGGTAGAGGACACAGGAGGCCAATATCATCCTCACTGCTGGGTCAGCAGCTGGCTCAGCTCTCCCTTGCTGTCTCCTTCTTTGTTCCTCACCCCGATGACATGGCTTCTCTCCTAGGGGTTGCCAGTGGCCTTCTCGTGCTAAATCCAGCAGACCCTTTCATATCTTATACTGGATCTCTGCAGCATCTGACAGGGCTGCTCACCCCCAGCTTCTTGAATTGCACTTCCCTGGCACTCCTGTGGCTGGTCTTCCTCCTGCCTCTGCTATTCCTTTCAGTTTCCTGTGCAGGCTTCTCCATTTGCCCCACGCACACTGGGGTTTCTCAGGGTTCTGTTGTGGGCTCCCTGGAGGAGCCCATCCAAGCTGATGGCTTCAAGGACTCTTTGCCGAGGAACTGAGAGTTGACCTCCGGCCCCAGCATCCCTCCTGATCTTCTGAACCATAGTTCCTCTCGCCTTTGGGTGCACAGACAACTCTCATGGCCCAGAGGGGCACTTGCTGCTGTCCTTTGCAAACCTGCCTCTTTTGGGTACCTGCCGTGACCACAAGACCCCTCGGGAGCCAGACCAGAAACTTGCTTTCTAGTCCTGCTTTCTCTTTCTGCCCCTCCTCCTCATCCAATCTCTAAAAACTGTTAAGTTTACCTTCCTAATATCTCTTGATTTGAGCCACACCCACTGTCATCAACTTACACCTGGATTATTGTGACAGCCTCCTTCTCCTTCTATGTCCCACAGCCAGAGTTGTCTAAAATGTATAGCTGATCAAGTCACTTCCTGGCCTACAACCTTCCATGGCTCCCTACTGCCCTCAGGATAAAGACCAGACCCCTTAGCATGGCTTGTGAAATTTGTGATGTCTGGTTCCTGCTCGCCTCTCTGGCCTCATCACTTGCCACCTTGCACCCTGTGTCCCCGCCTCCTGTATTCAGAGATGCCACTTTGATTCTCCTTTCTTCTGCCCATCTGGGTACCTTCTCTGTCAGTTCTCAGCTTAGATTTCACTTCCTCTGAGCTTTGTCCCCTCTCCCCCCAGCACACCACACAAATCACTCTAGGCTTACTGGTCTATCTCCCCACTAGACTGTAAGCTCCTTGAGGGCAGGGACTGTCCTTCAGTTTTTGTATTAACAGTGCCTGGCTTGGTGCCCGGTACATAGAAAGCACTCAATAAACGTTTGTTTAATGAATGATTTGTAGCAATGTGTCCAGGAGATAACAGGGGATCCAGGATAGCTTCCTGGAGGAAGTGCAAGTGCTTGTATAGTTGCAAACTGAAGCCATGGGTCCTCCCTCCCTCCCCCCAAGATATGCTGCCTGTGCCTCCCTGAACTACAGAGACCTTGAAGGACTTAATCTGAACAAGAGGCAGCATTTTCCTGTGGTTCCCTATCCTGGAAGCCTTGTTCCTGGTGGGCTGGGGCAGGGGGAGGAGAGGTAGTAGGGACACCAAAGTGTCCATTTTATGATGCAAGGGCCCAGGATAGACTGATGCTCACTCTGAGGCCTCTGCCCTAGCTTAAAACCTCTTGGGGAGTCCAAGAAGTTTCTTTGTGAAGAAGGGAGACCTGGGAGACCTAGTCTTTTGTTAAGAGAGAAGGGGTTCTGATCTTCAAGCTTGGGAGTGGGAAGTGGGAAGCCTGTGAGTACTCCTCTCCCTCTCTCCCAACCCCAACGTGAATCACCACACCTCAGCCTTCACTGGGCTGCCTCAGGTTGACAGCCTACCAAAATAAGTTTATGGGGGGCTTTTGGGGGAGGGCAGAGTGGGGAGCCCTTGATGGGCTTGCACAGCTGCCAGGAAGGCTTCATCAAATGTCTCACGCAGGTTCATGGCCAGAGTGTCAGTCCAGAAGTTGTCACCCAAGAGCCACTTCCGGGGCACGTGCCTCATGCTGACAGGGCAAAAGCCCTGGGGCACTTTCATCCTGTGTGGCCGCACTGAAGGGTACAGCTCTTGGACTACCACCTTGAAAGGCAGCTGGGGCGCAGGTGCCACCCGGTTGCCGGCCACCGTGCACAGCTGTGCACCGCCGTGCCGGTCAGACCTCACCTTAAGGAAGCTGTGGAAGTCGTGCTCTGGACTGGGGTCTGGATGCACACCTAGGCGGATGCCCTGTGGGTAGCCGATCTGGGTGGTGGGTGATCTGGCAGGATTGTTGCTAACATTCCACGACTTGGGCCGCCTGACCATGGGCTGCATGTAGATGGATGTGGGTGTCCCCAAGGACTGCAGCTTGGGCGCTGATGTCTGCCGCAGGCGTGCCTCTGGGGAGGGGTAGAAGCTCTTTCGAGGCCCCTGGTGCTTGAGGGTCTTGGGGATGGCGATCGCCTGGGGTGGGGCACAAGGCGCTTGCTTGGCATTGCGGATCAGGGATTGGCCTTGGAGCAGCTGCTTGCGATGGAGCCACTTCTTGAAATCCGCTTCTCTCAGAATTTGGTGCTCTTTCTGCAACATCAGAGGGTACAAGATAGTCATGGAGGGCTGCCCCTCCTCCCTCCTCCTGTGGAGGGAGGCCTTGTGGCTGTAGCCCTTGGAAACCTCAGGTATCACTGGCTAGATACAGTTCTGCCCCAGGAGGCCTAAGTCTGATGAGAGAAACTCCTGTCTTATGGGAGCCCTTGTTCTGACGGGGAGATAACTATTGCCCGAAGGGAGCCCTTGGGCTGATGGGGCAGGTAGAACCTCTCCGACCTCCAACCTGATACGGCCTCTGCCCTAAGTGAGGTCTCCAGTCCCTGGCCTATGGAAAACCTCAAGTCTCTTGGGGGAGACAAGCCTCCACCTCCAGAGAAGTCCCTCGTCTGATAGTGGAGATATGTCCTGCCCTGAGAGAATCTCTGGTTTGATGGGGGAGGAAAGGCAAATCCTCGACACTGGAAGAAGAAAGCAGAAAGGTTTGGAAGTCCTGGAACTGGGGGGAGCCAGTCTGGATTGGCTTCTGGAAGTGGTGGGCCTTGTATGTTGGATATAGTTGGCTGGCTCTCTGGGCCAGGTGGTCATGACTCGGGCTACCTCTCTGTTTTTGCCTCCACTAGAATCGAACCTTCAGCTTGCCACAGAACTGCCCCTTGTCCACCCCCTTGTTTCAGTGTCTCACCCCCCGGACCGTTGCTAAGCCATCAGGTGGTATGGAGATTGACCCAGCTCAGGAGGTAGGCTCTGATTAGGCTAAGCCAATCATAATAATTCCATCAGCCTTGCCCCAGACCCAGGTCAGTCAGCACATGGCTTTCCTTTAGCTGTAGGGATTGGCACAAGAATGGACACAGGATCCAACTGAGGCCAATAAGAGATAAAGGGAGATCTGCAAGGGGCTTCTGGGAAAGTTTAGAGCCACGGGAACGGATGAGGCTTTGCCTCCTCTGGACACAAGGGGCTATGAGGATTGGGTGACACACCAGAAGAGGACAGGGCTGAGAAAACTGGAGAGAAATGCAGCTGGAACCCAGCCGGAGTATTGGATTTTGCCAGCCCTGAGGCCCTCCCCACTTCTGGATCCACTTAGGATTCCCAGCATCTTCTCTCTGGGTTTTCTGGCTCTTGCATCCTATATCCTTATACCTGCTTGAAATGCTTTACTTCCCCGTTCTTCCCCAGCCAAGGTCCATCATAGGTCTGAGCCCCTCCCAAATCTCTCACTTGGCAATCTCCACCTCACATGTGTTCCCCTAGCTGTACTGACTTTGTGCTTCTCAGCATATACCATGTTCTCCTGTACCTCTGTGCCTCTCCACAGGGCTCTCTGTTCCTTCTGCCTGGTCAGCCCTTTCCTTCTTCATACAGCCAACTGCTGCCCATCTTTAAAGGCCCTCTTAAGCATTATCTCTCTGGCATCCTCCTGGACCCTTCCTTCTCTGTGGGAATATAACCCACCTCCCATTCTAGATCCTAAGCTCCTTGAGTGAGGGGACCACATCTCATTTGTCTTTGGAGCCTCAGGGTCCAGCAGGTGCCTAGCAGAGAGGAAATGCTCAGTGTCTGTTGGAAAGGATGGATTTTTTTTAAAAGATTTTATTTTTAAGTCATCTCTACCACCAACACGGGGCTTGAACTCTCAACCCTGAAATCAAGAGTCATGTACTCCACCAACTGAGCCAGCTACACGCCCCAAAGGATGGATCTTTCTCTTCTTTTTTTAAGATTTTATTTATTTGAGAGAGAGAGAGAGCATGAGCAGGGGGAGGGGGAGAGGGAGAAGCAGATTTCCCACTGAGTGGGGAGCCCGATGTGGGGGCCCGAGGCGGGGCTCCATCCCAGGACCCAGGATAATGACCTGAGCCGAAGTTAAGACACTTAACAGACTGAGCCACCCAGGCACCCCAAGGGTGGATCTTTTTAACCAGTGTGAATCCCAATGTAGGCAAGGCCTGGAGCTCGCTAGAGATTTTCCTCCTCATCCAGAAGGAGGCAATGCGCTAGGAGGTGTGCTGTATTTCTTGCCAATTCAAGCTGTATGTACTCTCTAACACAAAATGAGACTTTTGACCTAGGAGAGTGGCTTTTAAGGGTGGAATTTCAGAGGATGGGGAGAGGGAGGCTTTTTCTGGGTGGGACTGCTACCAGCCACTCCTCTAACTGCGTATGAGTCATGGCCTCCCGTGCTCACCTGCTTGGATAGCACTGGCTGCCCGGCGCCCCTGCCCCCCCCTCCCCCTTACTTGATACTCGGTCAGGTAGTCTTGTTCCATGAAGGCCAGCTGGTCCTTGAGCCTCTTCAGTTTCCCCATCTCACAAGCAAAGTCCTTCTTGTCCCGTTTCCACATGGCATCCTTCAAGAACCTGACGCCAAGGTGGGGGTATGTCATCCTCCAGTGACCGAGCTTCACCCTGGGCTGGGAAGACCGGCTACTGCCGAGGGCCCGGATGAGGGTAGGAGGAGCCACCAGAGACGCCATTCCCCACTGCCCAAGGCCCCTCCCACTACCTTTGAGGTGAGAGAGGAAAGGGATAGTCTGATCAGCACCCCCTGCTGAGGATCCAAGGCCTCAGGGCAAGGAAGGGCAGTGCTATACCCAAAGAGGTGAGGCCCTGTGGAAAGCCCTGGGAATAATATCCTGGGGGGGCCAGGGGTCTCTTCTGCACACTTATCTCCCAGCCCAGACCCTCCTGGTAAAGGCTCAGCCTCAGGTGAGGGCCCCAGGGAAAGGGCTGGGAGGGAGGGAAGGGGTGGCAGGCTGTGGGTGGTTCTCACACCCTCACCGGGCACAGTCGCGGTGGTTCCATATTTTGCAGTAGTCGATGGGCTTGCAGCCCATGGCATCTCGGGCGTGGACATTGGCGCCATTTTGCACCAGCACCTTCACGCAGCTCAGCAGGCCCTTGCAAGCTGCCAGGTGGAGGGGTGTGGAGCCATTGCATGTCTGACTGTACAGGGCCCCGCCGGCCGGGAAGAGGGCAGAAAGGATGGCCATTTGCCCATCAGAGAGGTGGGCAAACCAGCTTCCGGACCTGCTCTGCCACCAGCCCACTGGGTAACTCTGATATGTCCCTTCTCCTCTCTGAGCTTCAATTTCCTCAACCATAGAAGGAGGGTTTAGACTAAATGAATGGTGGGAGGCTGACTATATGGGTGTGCCACAGTAAAGATCTGCTGGAAGAAGAGCTGGGTTGGCTGGAGCTCAGAGGGCACTAACCTTATTGGCTCTTAAGTCAGCCAGCCCTCCTGCCCCCTCCCCTGCCTGGCCATGGCACACAAGGCCTGCGTGACCTGGGCCCTGCCTCCTCCCCACCCTCATCTTCTGACCTTGCCCCACTCTTTCCCAACTTGTGATCTTTGCACATGATGTTCCCTCTGCCTGGGACTCTTTTCCCCAGCTCTTTTCATGTCTGCCTTGGTCTCAGTTTTCGGGCTGCAATTTAAATGTTATTTCCTTAGAGGTGACTTCCCCTTCCAAAATAGATCCTCTGCCCTACCCCTTTTACTCATCACCTCATTGCCCTGTTTATTTCCTTTAAAACTACTTACTACACTGTCATTTCGTTCATTTATTGGTTTGCTCGTTCACTGTCTGCTCCTGTACTAGTTTATCAGCTTCATGAGGGCTGGGACAATTGCCGTGTCTTCACTGCTGTATTCGACTCAGGCTTGGCGCCGAGCACACAGGGCTCTGTAAATATGAGCGAGTGCAGTCTCCCATAGGCCATCCCGGCACTTCCATGCATTTCCTCCGTTACCACAATAGTCTCATGTCATCCTCCCACATTTCAGTTGAAGACACTCAGGAAATAATTCCCAAACTTTGCTGCAAATTAGAAACACCTTGGAATCTTTTAGGCCTTCTAAAGCTCAGATGGCACCCCATACCAGTTTCAGCCTTTGACTGGAACACAGGCACTGGTATTTCTGAAGCTACATACGGGACTCCGGTGTACTGACAAGCTTGGTAACCAGAGCACTGAGGCTAAGGGTTGAGTGACTTGTTGAAGGTCTTGCTGTTTGCTAGCAGATGGCAAAGCTGGGATGTGAACTAGGTCTGTCCTCTCCCAGAGCCTGATCTCCTTACTACACCATGTGGGCTCACTGACTGCTTTATGTGGGACCCAATCCTTGTCACCCTACAGCCCTCTGCCTGTCCTGCATGGATCTGCCTACTTGGAAGTGGGGTTCCTATCTGCCCAGGTTCCAAGACACTTTTTGGACACAGGCTGGACTCACGTGTTGAGGGCCGCCCCTTGCTTAAGTAGATAGTGAATGCAGGGGAGGGTCATGGTCTTGTTGTCCCCGTGGATGACCAGGTGCAGGGGTGTCTGGCCATTGTTGGTGGGCAGGTCCACGGGAAACTTGTACTCTTCTACCAAGACCTGCAGGCACGTAAGCTTGCCACTCTGGGCTGCAAAGTGGATGGCAGTGAAGCCCTGTGGGGGCGGGAGGAGGGTAGGAGGAGACTGAGCAGGATTGGGGCCCCAGGGTCCCCAACCTAACCTACAGAGCAGAGTCTGCTGGTAGAAGGTGACTATCTACACAGAAAAGGGTATCTGTGGATGTTCCATAGGCAGATCTTTGCCAGAGAACCACTATGTGAGGAACTTTCTGTGCGTACAGAGGACTTCATTTCTTGGCCCCAAGTTCCAAGGCCTTACCTTGTCATCTGCCGGAATTTTGTCACGGTCCCGACTCAGACAGAAACGCAGCCATTCCAGGTTGCCCAGTGCAGCCGCGAACAGCTCGTAGTAGCTCCCAATGGCACTCTGGTCCCACTCATCGTCGGGGTTAGCGTGGGTCGGGAGTGGGCAGGTGAGCAAGAAAGCGGAGTCTGGGTCTGGGCCTTTGGCCCTGCAGAGGGGCGTGCGTGAGGGCAAGGGCTGTCACTGAGCACCAAGGCGCTTCGGGAGGCCAGGCCGGGGCTCGCTGGTTGGCAGGGCAATGAGGAAGCCACCGTCCCCGGACACCTCTCTGGAGGCGAGCCAGCACCCCAGCCCGGTTCTCCCGGCTCCTCGCACCGCCCAAGGGCTCCCGCCCGCTCCAGGCCCTGCCCCTCCAGGGAGGCCCCCCACAGCCCGGCCACCTCATCCCCGGCCCACCTGGGCTGCTGGGACGCCGCTTCACCCCAGGTGACCATGTAGGAGGCTTTCTCCGCCGGCTGCATGGCGACACTTGTGTGCGGGGGCTGCTCCCCCACCCTCCCCAGGCCCTGCCCGCTGGCGGACGGTCGAACTGGCGCTGCGGCCAGGGCAGCTCCTCCGCGGGCCGCGCCACTTCCCCCGCTTAGTAACCGGCCGCCCCGTCTCCAGGGGCCCGCCCGGCACCTCCCGGAGATCCTGCCGCCGCTAACCCCGCCGCCACCTGGTGAGCCCTGGCCCCCTCGGCCTGGAAACAGCATCGGCCACACACACAAACCACAAGACACTTGGGTTTTGTTTCTGATGATAAAATTATTAAGTGCTGATTGTTAAAACAGAGAAAGGGACGAGGAAATTAAAAATCACAATTCCACCAACCGCAGGAATCACGGTCCATTACGATATGTATCTACATATCCTACATTTTTTGTACTTCTTTTCATTTAGCATTTTATTATGAACTAGCATCCATTGTCATGCCATATACTAAACGTACGTTATGACGCCACTGTAGCCCAGCGTCATAATGGACATACACTATCATTTGACATGTGCGGCAGAAAACAAAATGATTCATCTTGGCCGTTTTCTTAGGATGGATTTCCTGGAAGTAGAATTACTAGGTGAAGGGAACGAACATTTTTTAATTGTTAGTATGTGTTTACAAACTGCCCACCAGCAAGGTTTTATATTCATTACACTTCTACCTGCAGTGAAGCAGGTACCCTGCACATCAGCCGTGGGACTTTGGGCGAGTTCCTTGACCTCTGTGTCTTAGTTTTTGCATCCGCAAACTGGGAATAATACCACCTACTTCACAAGGAGGGAGGGGATTGCAGCAGTAAGACCAGGCCAGCTATCTAGAATTTTCTATTGTTAAAAGAGGACCTACTTGAACCATCACCACCAGGGCGTATGTCGGGGTTGGAGAGTGTCTCAGGACCTCTTCAAGTGCACCCTCATTATCTTTACCTGGGTTATCTTGCAGCCTCTAAACTAGGGGTTGCAACTCCAGCTGTACCTGGGGAAAAAATACCAATGCAGAGGAATTCGCCTCCAAATTCAGATTAATTGATCTGGTTTGGAGCCTGGGCCTTGGTATTTTGTAAAGTTCTCTAGGTGATTCTCATTTGCTTAATACAGGCGTAACAACCTTTTGTTCTTTCCCAGTGCGGGAATCCAGGGAGAGGGCTGAAGCGTGGGAGCCCCATCCCCACCCCGCCTCCCGCCTCGAGGCGGGGTGGGGAGGGGTTGGGGTGGGTAGCTGACAGTGGGCACTCAAGCGGTTGGTTCAGGTGTGTGGGACCTTGGAAGACACGGAGGCGTGTGTAGAACCGGGGTAGAACCGGGGCTTCCGGGACGAGCTCCAGGGTCCGGCTGTGGGCGGGGCTAGAGCGCAGTGTCGGCCGCGGGGTCCTGCGGCGCCCCCTCGCGGGAGTAGAACTCATCGAGCACGCTGTGCGGGATGCGCTTCAGCATCTCCTTGGGGAAGATGCGCAACAGCTTCCAGCCCAGGTCCAAGGACTCGAACACCGAGCGGTTCTCGTAGGGGCCTAGGGACGGGGCAGGAGTGTTAGGAGCGTGTGCGCGTATATGTGGCCGGGTAAGGGGGTTACTGCCTGAACGCCCCCAGCGCGCCTCACCCTGGTTGATGAAGTTCTTCTCGAACTTCTGCAGAAATTCCAGATAGAGCAGGTCCTCCGAAGTGAGCGCCTCCTCCCCCACCACTGCTTTCATGGCCTGCACGTCCTTCCCGATTGCGTAGCAAGCATACTGGGTGAAGGGGGGGACGGTCCTAGCGGTCACCGCAGGCGGATCACAGGAGCTCAGTGGCCCCCAATTTGACTGTGTGGGGACCCCAAAAGGGGAGGGATTTCCCAGAGAAAAGCTCGTGGTCCAGGTAGGGCTCAAACCTCTAGCTTCTGAAATTAGCTTACCCGCCAGTCCCTGGGCTCTCTCCTTACCAGTTGGTTGGAGACGTCTCCATGGTCCTTTCTTGTCATGCCCTCCCCAATGGCAGACTTCATCAGCCGCGACAGGGAAGGGAGCACATTGATGGGGGGGTAGATCTGGGCAAGCAGAAGAAGGGAGTGGCAGAAGGCAGGGTCCAGACTTGACTTTCTTTCCTCCCCCAACTTGTCTCTCCTCCCCCTGGGGTTCTCAAGAGACTGCTCCTCACTCCTCCCACAGAGAGGTGGGCTGGTCATGCCCTGCCCTCCTTTATCGCCCACAAATTCTAGAGCTTGGGTATGGAGGTGTCTACATGTGTGCTCCTAGACAGGAGGGGGGGGGACATGACGTGACATTAGGTAATGAAAAGTCACTATTTTAAAACCTTTGATTATTTGGCCAGAAACCGGGTTGAAGCTTAATAGTTAATAGCTGTAAAGAAGGAACTTACTGAGCAAAGAGGTAAAAGTCACAGGATTGCCTTTGACCTCAGATGGGACAGACACATTTTCTAACCTGTTGGCACATTATTCACCATCTACTTGTGTCAGTTACCCATTGTTTTGTTCACCAGAGTAAATTACTGGAAAGCAAAGGGAAGTGGTATTTATTATCTACTGTCTGCTGGATGCTCTCTATGTGCCAAATGATTGTATCTTCCACAATGCACTCCACTGAGTGATAAATACTATTCTGTTTTATAGATGAGGAAACCTAGCATCAGAAGGATGAGATGATTTTCGCAAGGTTCCCACAGTCAGGTGGTCTGGATTCTAGCCAGACCTGTCCTGTGTTTGCGACCACACAGTCTTCCTGGGTCATCTCCTCTTTGGAGTTAGCCTCGCCCGGCCCCTCCTAATTCACAGAGAACTGAAGCACAGCAGGTGAAGGGACATCTGTTAGTGTCTCTGGGGGTGATGAGGAGAGCACTAAGTCGTAGGGAGGGGACCGTACTTGTCTGTTATGAAGCTGTCTGTCCACGTAGATCTGTCCCTCTGTGATGAAGCCCGTCAGGTCTGGGATTGGGTGGGTGATATCTGCAAGGAAATGCACTGGTGTCAGTGTAGACAGAGCCCACGTCTCCACCTGCTCAGGGCCGCCTGGGCTCTATGGCTCTCATGGGAGTGATGGGGTATGTGGAGGCAAGGAAAAAACAGTGAATCCCATGATGAAGAAACAGAGCTACGGCACATCTATGCACAAAACCAGGGGCCCTTTAAGCATCCCGGTGGGAAGGGAGGACAGGGGGTAGCAGAGGGTAGCGGGCAGCAAAGAGACTCACCGTCATTGGGCATGGTGAGGAGGGGAATCTGAGTGATGGACCCTCCCCGGCCCTCCACGCGGCCTGCCCGCTCATAGATGGTGGCCAGGTCTGTGTACATGTATCCCGGGAAGCCTCGACGGCCCGGCACCTCCTCCCTGGCGGCTGAGACCTGCAATGGCGGTGTTGCTGGGGTAAGAAGGGGGGCAAGAGGCTGAGCAGGAGATTCGGTGACTGAGAAATGGAGTGTGTGGCGGCAGGCTTGGATGGGTGAGTTTCGGGGTGGAAAGACTACGGAGAGGCTGGCGTGACCCCGACACCCTTCACCAGCTGCCTCACCTCCCGCAAGGCCTCTGCGTAGGAACTCATGTCGGTCAGTATGACCAGCACGTGCTTCTCACACTGGTAGGCGAGAAATTCAGCAGTGGTCAGTGCCAGGCGCGGGGTGATGATCCGCTCGATCCTGGAGGGACAGCCTGTGTTTAGAGAGCCCAGAGGCCTAGGCCTATGCTCTGTCTAGCCCCAAGTGCTGAGTGGATAGTGAACTGCGCATAGCAGCAGGGGGGGTGGGTGGGATGAGCCCCAGCTCCCAGGCCCCATGTCAGCTGTGGTTCCTGCGGGTGGGCAGTTCACCACGTCTGACACTCCTCCCTCCTGCTGTCCAAGGGAGGAAGGGTGGGGAGCCCGGAACAGGCCGGGAGTTGGGTAGGAGTGGGACAGGCAGGGCCAGGAGTGTTGATGAGGATGACGGCACCCTGTCCCTGTGGGCCTGAAGGTGCGGGGGGAGGGGGGGCTCTGGCCTATCAGAGCAAGGCAGGGGTGGGGCTCCTGCTGCCCTTCTCTTCCCCAGCTTCCTCTCCGCCACACTTGGCTGAGGTAGAGCACTCTGGATTCCTTCCAGAAGGTTCCCCTCACTGCTCCAGAGCACAGCTAGTGTGCACATTCCATAGGCTTGCCCTGCCCGCCTGGCAGCCCCCTTCCACTCTGAGCTCTCCCGAGTCCCTTCCTCTGGCTCCAGGCTCTCTCAGTCCTTAAGCTCTGTCCTGTGGGTCTTTTCTCTGGTGATGTCATCTTGGCCTCCAGAATTCCGTTACTTCGTTTTTGGAGCCCCTTCAGTACCCAGGACAGTTTTATTAGAAGTTTTTTTTTCATCCCCCTGACCCACAGATTTAAACTCCCATTTCCTGAACTTTAGAAATAGCAGTTTTTCCAAATGAATAAATGAAAAGCAGAATCAGACCTATACATAGAGAATAAACTGATGGCTGCCAGAGGGAAGGGGTGGGGAGATGGGCAAAATGGGGGGCAAAGGGTGGAGTCATAGGCTCCTGGTCAGGAAGCAGCACAGGGAATAGTGTCAGGGGTATGGTAAGAGTGTTACTTGGTGACAGATGGTAGATATATTTGTGGTGAGCATAGCACTGACCTACGGAGAAACTGAATCACTACCTTGTACACCTGAAACTAATGTAACATTGTGTGTCAACTCTATTCAAGTAAGAAAATTAAAAAATAAAACAGTTTTTGTAAATACGTGGTTTAAGTTTTAGAGGTGGCTTTGGGGAAGTGACTCAAGGGTAAGGAGGTCTGACTGGGGACAGTGGCTGGATGCACATTATGGGAAGAACGGAGGGGCTGCAGGAGGCAGGCGGGCTTGTGGTCTCGTCCCCTCCATCTCTCCCTGGGCTATCCCCACCCCTTACCCAGCCTCAGTTTCCCCATCTGCACAACAAGGGGTTGTTTTCCCAACTCTGGCCCATGGCTATGGTTCTGGGATACTCCCGAGCTCTGGTACTCTGGGTGTTGAGAGGGGACAGGGACCGCTGCCTGAAGGCAGTCTGGGTACCAAGGGATGGCTCACGTGGGGTCGTTGGCCAAGTTCAGGAAGAGGCAGACATTCCCCATGGTACCGTTCTGCTCGAAATCAGACTTGAAGAACCTGGCTGTCTCCATGTTCACCTGGACACACAGCAGGGAGGGCTGGAGGGGGGGGGTCTCTGCAGCCTAAGGGCAGGGGCCCCGGCCTCTCCCATCTCTTCTCAGTAGAGCGTATTGACTGACAGTCCCTGGGAGGACCCAGCACTTGAGAAGGCAGGGGCTGGGTTTGCACTCCCCAGGCCCCAAAGAGAAGTTCAGATTTCTTCAGGTTGTGCTCTGCTCATTGCATCCTGACCCCTCACTTAACCAGCTGCTTCCCTGCTAAACCCCTCCTTGGGCCCCCTGAGGGCCCCAGGGTATCCCCTCCCTGAAGTTGTCTTCCCAAATTCCCTGGCTTCTCCCTCCTCCAGGCCACCCTAGGGCTCATCTTACAGCTGCCATGCCCTTGGGATGCACTGGGGGACACACTGTACCTAGTCACTGAGCCCCCCTCCCCCTGCAGTCATGCTCTTGCCTCTCCCACCAGATAGGCCTGGACACTGACAGCTTCTCAGGGAGAAGGATTATGCCTCCCTCATCATATCAGGCAGAGCCAGGGTCCAAGAGAGACAAGGCTGCCTGCCCACAGCTTCCAGAATTTGCCAATCTGCCCAGCTTCTCTTACCCCCATGGCCGCAAAGACAATGGCAAAGTTGTCGTCATGATAATCCAGCACAGCCTTGGACTTCTTCACCAGCCCAGCCTGGCGGCAGATCTGAGCGGCAATCTGGGGTGGAGTGGATTAGAAGGAAGAGTGTCAGAACCAGAACCCAGAGCCCAGCCCACTGAGCACCATGGAGGATGATGGATGGAGCAATTTCCAGTCCTTCCTCCTGCCAAGGCCTTTGGTTGCGGGGGGGTGGGGGGGTGGGGATCCTAGGCCAGAAAGATGAAAGGGCTGCCCCAGGTCCTACAGCCTTCCTCAGGGTGAAGGCTTGAAGACCTGCTTGGGGACACTGAGGAGGTCTTCTGCGGCCCTGAGCCCACGAGCTGCCAGAGGACAGCTACCAGTCTGGACAGCGATGACCCCAGCGTGGCTGGTCCCTGACTGTTTGATTCAGGAGACCCACCTCACTGGCCCACCAGCCCTGGCCTCTGCCCTGTGCGCTCCTCTTGGTCATGTCTGCAGGACCCTGCAGGCCTCACCTCATTGTGGGGGAGCCCGGCTGCTGAGAAGATGGGGATCTTCTGACCACGGGCAATGCTGTTCATGACATCGATGGGAGAGATGCCCGTCTGAATCATCTCCTCCGGGTAGATGCGGTCATGGGGGTTGATGGGCTGGCCTGGGAGAGGGCGATCATGGACCCATGCTCAAGGGCTCAAGTCTGTCCCTGCCCTCCCCCAACCCTGCCCCCAACTCCAGAGCAGCACTGTGGAGCAGAATTCTCTGTGATGATGAAAATGTGCTCTAACTACCCTGCCCGGTCCAGTAGCCCTAGTCACATGTCGCTGGTGGGCACGTGACATGAACGTGTATTCCACTTGAATTAATTTGTATCTAAATAACCATGATCCAGTGCTCCCTTGGACAGTGCTGCCTGGCCCAGCAGAAGCGGCAGGCAGGTGGGAGCTCAGGCTGAGGCCCCCGAGGCTGAGCAGGTGTTGTGCAGGGCTCGAAGGAACAGAGGGCAGCCTGGAGAGCTCCTGTCTGAGGGGATGTGTATCCTTTGCTCTGCCGCTGACTTGCTGAGTGGTTTGGGGCAGCTGTGGGCCTCTGTGGGCCTCCATCTGTGGGCCTCCATCTGGTCCTCAGAACTGACAGGACTGGAGGACTCAGGATGGCCTCCCACCGGGAAGGGGCTGTGTCTACTGTTGCAAGCCACCCCAGGCAGCTCTGAGAGGCGGGGACAGGGCACTGGAAGGCAGGAGAGTGAGGGTCTTGGGGCACCCATGGAACTTTGCACCTGATGGTGGCTTTGAGAGGAACAGGACATGAAGTGCCAATGGCAGTATTTCAGGCTCTGTGGCAGATTTGGGGACAGAGAGGCCTCTGCAGTTCTTGTCGCACATGCGATCTGCCTGGTAGTCTGAGCAGCCTGCGGGTGAGCCCTGGCCCATTGCCCCTGGCCTGTGTCTGGGGCAGAACTTCCAAGGGCAAGATGGCAGAGGCGGTGGCTGGGGGTGGGGAAAGTGATTGGGGGCTGGGTCCCGAAAGCTGTCCAGAGCCTTTCCCAGGTCACTCACCATTGATATCCAGGAAGTCCTCTGCCATGACCACCGGCCCCTTGTCAATGGGCTTGCCAGAGCCGTTGAAGACCCGACCTGAAGGTGGGGGAGGCTGTTGGGGGATGCTTAGAGCCAGCCCTGGGTCTCCCTCACTGCTGCTCACCCTCCACACCACCAGCGGCTCCCACCCACCCCTCACGTCCCTCTTCCCTCAGCCCTCAGTTAACCCCCGAGAGCTGGCTACAGGGACTGTCTCCATGGGGATCTTCCCTCCTCTCCTGGAAATCTTTACAGGTGAGGTCTTGGCCCAGGAAATGACTCTAATGGAGGGTTTTAGGGCTGGAAAGAGGAGAGGGCCACGTGTGACAGATCTTGGGAGAAAATTGGGGGATGTGCACTCTGTTTCAGCCTAACCCCAAATAGATGACTACCTACTGTGCCCCCAGTTGATTGAACAAGCCTTCCTCGTTTACGGAACATCTGTATGTCCAGCCCTGAGCTGGGGTTGGGGGGTCAGAGAGAGAAGACACAATCTCTGACCTCAAAGAACTCACAGGGGAGGCAGACAGGCAAAGAGGCAAGGACAATGCAGTATGCTAAGTGAACGGTCAGGGAAGCTGGGCTGGGAGGACAGAGGTGCACCCCCCCAGCCTCTCCTCCCCCCATCCTTACCCAGCATGTCTTCTGACACTGGAGTCCGTAGGATGTCCCCAGTGAATTCACAGGTGGTCTTCTGGGCATCGATCCCAGAGGTTCCTTCAAACACCTATGGGACAAGAGGTTAGTTACCCTAATAAGGGTCTTGCTGGGGAGAATGGGGCCTTCCATTCCAGGCTCCCTTTGTGCCCAGCTCTGGGCAAGATGCTCTTGGGAAAATAGGATGTTTCCTGCCTTCGGAGCCTATAAGATAGTCAGGAACTTTGTGGGCTCGTTCATTTATTCAGCCAGCCAACATCGCCCTGACACCACTTACCTGAACAATTGCCTTGGTCCCAGACACCTCCAGCACCTGCCCGCTTCTCTGAGTGCCATCGGGAAGGGTGAAGTTGACGATCTCAGCATACTGTGCAAACTGGCAGGAGGGGAGAGCAGCCCAGAGCAGCGATGAGACCAGAGGTGAAGTCCCTGTCCCCCCCATCCCTCCTTGACCCATTCTCAAGCTTCTGTCTCCCCTTTTGTGACCAGGCACTAGTAGAAGTGAACCTGAGGGGCCAGAGGTGGGACATTTGGATTCTGTTTGGGAGGCTGTACACCTGGATGGGCAGGAGCACTGACTTTGGAGTTGGAAGACCAGGGTTAGAACCGAAGCTCTGATGCTTAGAAACTGTGTGACCATGTGGAAGTTACTTAATGTCTCTGAGCATTACTTTCCTCATCTTTCAAATGAGAATAAGAATAATACCTACTTCATAGGGCTTCTATGGGGAGAAAGTGATCTATGTGAAGTCATTAGCTGGTGCCCAGGACCTGTAACAGCTCAATAAAATGTAATCATTACTATGGCTGTTTAGGTCCCATGGACAGCACAGTTGTCCCTGCCTCTGTGGAGTAATGGTGAACACACGGGTACAGTGCTCTCCTGGGCTGCCGGGTGTCCCCTCGTACCAGTGGCAGTCTTTCCCTAGCCATGGGGCTGGGATTGATTCATGTGTTGTCCTCACAGCTTCAGGCATAAAAAGAATCAGGCAATCACTTCTCTTTTGGCTATGAGCAAGTGTAGTATCTCTTCTTATCCGTTTGAAAAGAACCAGGCTAATATCAGGAATATATAAAGAACTCTTAAAACTCAACAATAAAAATACAAATACTATAATTTTAAAAATGGGCAAAGGATCTAAATCGATATTTCTCCAAAGAAGATATTCAAAAGACCAATAAGCACATAAGATGCTCAACATCATTCACCATTAAAGAAATGCAGATCAAAACCACAATGAGATACCACGTCCCACTCATGAATATGGCTGGAGTCCGAAGGACAGCTAACGAGTGTAGTTGAAGGTGTGGAGAAATCAGACCCCTCAGACACTGCTGGTGGGAACTTAAAATGGTGAGGCCACTTTGAAAAACACTCTGACGCTTTCTCAAAGGGTTAAACATAGAGACCCCATATGACCCAGCAATTCCACTGGCGCAACAGAAATGAAAACATGTGACCACACAAAAACTTGCATATGAATGTATATGAATGTTCATATACAAGTGGTAGCCTTATTCATAATAGCCCCAAGGTGGAAACAACCCAAATGTCCACAGACAGTGAACGGAGAAATAAAAGATGGTATATCTATACCATGGAATATTATCAGCCTTATAAAGGAATGAAATACTGATCCATGCAAAACACGGATGAACCTTGGAAACATGCTAAGTAGGTGAAAGAAGCCAGACGCAACAGGTCACGGAGTATATGATTCTATTGATATGAAGTGTCTGAAATAGTCTGATCCATAAAGACAGAAAGGTTAGAGCTTGCCGGGGGCTGGAAGGAGGGACGATTGGGAGTGACAACTAACAGGTACAAGGGGTTCTTTTGGAGGTGATAAAAATGTTCTGGAATCAAATAGTGGTGATGGCTGCACAACTCTGTGTATATACTAAAAACCACTGAACTGTGTGCTTTAAAAGAAGGAAGTTTATGATATGTAAATTATAATTCAATTAAAAAAAGACAATTAGGCTGTCCTCCAGGACCACAGGTAGCAGGTTGGGCAGGTGGAGATCTGCCCCAAAGGAATCCCCTAGCCCTGCAGTCTGTGCATGCTCCGGGAACCAGGGTCCCAGTCTTTCCCCACTTCCAGAAGAGGCTATGAGCTGGGCCAGGAGAGCTGGGCCGGGACAGCAGACCCTCCCCACTGACCCTGGCTTCAGCTCTTGTCAGTCCCCAGAGACCTAAGCCCTGTAACCTGCACCTTATTCCAGGGGCGGTACTGGAGAGAGTGCATTGCATCCTTCAGGTTCCCTCCCGTTGCTTCCCTGGTGATTGAGTTACTTCAGGGAGTAAGTGAGAATCGGAATCTAATAAAAATAAATGGTAAAAAGATGACATCCCTACCCACGTGTTCCTCATATTCTGAGTTAAAGTACTCCTCTAAATTACTCCTTGAGCATTAGAGGGAATCAGAACTGACATGATAAATGAAATAGAAAACAATGAGAAAGGAGAGCACCTTGTAGAATCAATCAGGCTGTACCATGTTTTCTGACCATAATCAAAACAAGTTAGAAATCAAAAACAAAAAGATGGTTAGACAAACTTCATGTATTTGGAAATTTAAAAACGTGATACAGAAGACCATAGAATTAGAAAATATTTAGCACCAAGCAATAATGAAAACCTACGTATCGACATATATGGATGCATTTAAACTTTATTTTTTTTTAAAAATTATTTATTTTAGAGAGAGAGAGAGCTAGAGCAGGGGGAGGGGCAGAGGGAGAGGGAGAGAGAATCTCAAGCAGATTTCACACTGAGTGCAGAGCCTGATGTGGGGCTTCATCTCACAACGCTGAGATCACGACCTGAGCTGAAACCAAAAGTCAGATGCTTAACTGCCTGTGCCACCAGGCGCCCCACATTTAAGCTTTAAATGCTTATATTAGAAAAGAAAAAAACTGAGTAAGTTTAAGAGTATGCAACATGAAAAGTTAGAAAAAAGAACAGCAATAAAAACCCCCAATAAAGTAGGATAGGGGGATGGGGGGAAGTAGGTGATGGGGATTAAGGAGTGCACTTGTGATGAGCACTGGGTGACATATGGAAGTGTGGACGTATGGAACTATATTGTACGCCTGAAACTAATACAGTGCTATATGTTAACTAACTGGAATTAAAAGAAAAACTTTTTTAAAAAGTCCAATATAGTAGAAGAAATAATAAAAGGTCAGAAATCATTAACACGGAGAATAAACATATAACAAAGAAGATTAAGCCAAATTGGTTCTTTGAAAAGCCTAATAAAATAGACTGATAAAATAAAACTGATTAAGAGCAAAGACATAAATAATTGTTGGAGTAAAAAAGTCAAAACTAGCTACACTAATAATATTAAAAAGTAATAAAAAGGAATTATGAACAATTGTATGCAATATAGTTCAGAACTTAGATGAAATGAATAAAGTCTTAGAAGAATACAACTCAAACCAAAACCAATCAAAAACCAAATAGAAAGCCGGAATAGTCCTACAAACTTTAAGATATTACATAAATAGTGTAAAATCTTTCCATAAAGAAAACACCAGTCCCAGATAGTCTTACAAGTGAGTTCTGACAAAGAACAAATAATTTGAAAATACTTGAGCTTTTCAAAAGACTGATAGAAAAGGGATGTCTTTAATTAATTTTATGAGGCAAGGATAACCTTGATATGAAATAAGATAATGAAGGGAAAATTATAGGCAATCTCGCTTATGAATATATATGCAAAAGACCTATGTAAAATACTAACAAACCAAATCCAGCAAAGTATAAAAAAGGTCGAGTTACAAACCAAATGATAAAAGAAAAAAGTCAAAAAACAAAAAAATAAAAAAGACACACATACACAAATAAAAATTAAAAAGACCCGGCAATTCAAGGTTAGTCTAATATTAGAAATCTGATAATGTAATTAATTTACCTTATTAATGAATTGCAGGATAAAAAAAACTTTGTTCATCTTAACATTCCAGAAAAAGGTTTAAAAAGCTATCCATGATTAAAACAAAAACTTTGATGATTAAAGAATCATGATATCCCTGGTTAAAGAACAAAACTACTCTTTGAAAACAGAATAAAAGGGAAATTCCTTAACTCCAAAAAGCATCCTCAGAAAACCTGCAGAAAACATACTCTGATGTAAAACGATCCCTTTAAAATTAGGAGCAAAACAGGGGCACCTGGGTGGCTCAATTGGTTAAGCATCTGCCTTCTGCTCAGGTCATGATCTCAGGGTCTTGGGATGGAGCTCCGCATTGGGCTCCCTGCTCAGCAGGGAGTCTGCTTCTCCCTCTCCCTCTGCCCCTCTCCCCCCACTCGTGTTCTCTCTTGCTCACTCTGCTCTCTTTCTCTCTCTATTAAATTGTTAAAAATTTGTTAAAAATTGTTAAAAAATTAGGAGCAAAACAACAATGCCTGCTATCATCATTCTATTCAGCATTACATTGGAAGAACCAGCCAACGTAATATGATGAACAGAAAGAAACATTAGAAGGCAAGGAAACTATAAAATAGAAAACTTCCCAAACCTCAAATGTAGTAAAGATAGGACCCTCCAGGGCACCTGAGGGGCTCAGTCGGTTAAGTGGCTGCCTTTGGCTCAGGTCACGATCTCAGGGTGCTGGGATCGAGCCCCACATGGGCTTCCTGCTCAGCGAAGAGCCTGCTTCTCCCTCTCCCTCTACCTGCCACTCCCCTTGCTTGTGCTCACACTCTCTCTGTCAAATAAATAAAGAAAATCTTCAAAAAAAAGAAAAAGATAGGACCCTCCAAAAAACGTAGACCAATTTCTTATAAATGTAGACACAGAAATTATAAATAAACTATTAGCCAGTCCAATCAGTGTATTAAGTAAACAAACAGGTATGACCAAATAGGATTCATCAAAAGAATGCAAGCCTAGATAAATCAACCTCTGGGAATTTGTCAACATTTCACAATATAATTTGTAATAATAGGGAGTTTTTTTGTAAACACGAATTAAAAGAGAAACCCTACAGGATTATGTAAATAGAAACCCAAAAGGCTTTTGATAACATTCAGCAGTGTTTCTAATACAATCCTATGTAAGATGGGAATGGACTTGAACACTATCTACCAAACCAACATCAACAAGCTTCCCAATGGTGAAACGCTAAACCCACTTTTATTTCTAAGAAAATCAGTAACGCACAGAGATGACTGTATTGCCATTGTTACTTCATATTGTTTTGGAAATTATAGTTTATACAATAAGACCCAAAAAAGAGAAATGAATAAGTATACTAATAAACATAAGTGGAGAAAGCTTTCTTTAAAAAAAAAAAAAAAGTAGAGAGCAGGAGAGGAGACTGTATTCTTCAGAAATGTCAGAGAAGAAAGGCTGTGGAAATGTT